CCAGTAATATTCCATTCTACTAAAACATATATTTACTAAAATACAGAGTACTACTATATTATACAAATTTCTTGTTTGGTATTATCTTTGACTCTCTCGTGTATAGACTTTAAACCATAGAATTACACTGTTTAAAGGATTAAAAAACCTCACGTAACACAAATAGTATTTAAAAAACACACACCACCCACTTTACAGTAGTCTATTTAGAATATAACAACAATGTGTTTTGGCTGTACTTTTAAACACAGCCTGTTGTATCAAGTGAAGGTTGTTCATAGCATGTGCATCTTCATCAGCGGATGCTTTTGAGCAGGAGTATTTGTTTCTGAGGAATCAGAAACCAGAAAAGTGAATCTGTGGGCTAGGAATGTGGGAGCAGAATTGTCACTGAGCACGGATATTTACATTTCTCTTTGCAAAGTAGGCAATAAAATCTGTTGAAGGCAAAAAATAAATCCTTTTATATAAAGTCATCAGTACTAATGATCAAAAAGTTTTCCACCAACTGGCCTATACTCCTGGGAAAGGAGGTTGCTGTGATAGGCGTTAAATAACTAACAGAATAATAACCTTAGTACTCCTTTTAAAATGAATATGGAACATAGACTTAAATTCTGCCCAGGCAGTGGAAGTATAGTGGGAAATTGTACACTTTATGGCCTGGTCTTCTTCCATTCCAGAAAAATAGACTACTTGATTTGATAGCCTTTTTTTTCCTTTTTCCTATTTATGCAGTATGATGCTCTTGCAATCAAAAATACTGTTGAGTTCTCTACAGTTTTCTTACATGAAGTAATAGTGCTTAGACTTGATCTCTCTACCACTTACTGTTTTTTTAAGTACATCAAAGACAATTACGCTATAGTAATCACCATTCAAAGAGAAGTATACAGCTTCTGGATGCGAACAAAATATATCCTTATGGTCTTTACACTATTTGGGTTTGAGCAGGGGAGCCTTGTGTGCCAGTTTTCAGTTTGTGACAAGCTTCAAGTTCTCTTGGGATGCTGAATGATTTGAAAAATGTGCTCTCTCTATGTATGCTTTGACTTAACCAAGTTCAAAACCTATTATTCAACCAAGCACTATAATAATTCTTCTGCCTATTACCTTATTAAATCTCTCAGATTATTCTATCAATGTATGGAAGATTAACTCCAAACAAAACTGTGGGGCCTAGGCAAGAGGATGCCTTATACAAGCATAATGAAACCCTATAAACGTAACATCATATATAGCAGTTATCTCTGTATCCTAAAAAGAAAAATCAAATTTATGTTGTTATTAAAATAGCTGCATTCTGCACTTAGAGACTTAGGATCCTTTTAAGACATTGAATTCCAGGTGTTGAATTCCAGGATGCAAAAGAGTATTCTAGATGTGGTCTAATAAATACTAATTAAAGGGGATGTTACTTCCCTCAGTCTACTGGCTCTGCTCCTTTTATGTTGTCCACCTTCTCTGCTACAGTACAGTGCTGGATCACATTCAACCTGCTGCCCCACCAGGGTCCCCAGGTCCTTTTCTGCAGAGCTGCTCCCCAGCCTGCATTATTGCCGGGGGTTTCTCCTTTCCCAGGTACAGGACTCAGTATTTGCCCTTATTAAATTTCATGAGATTCTTGCTGGTCCATCCCTGTCTCTCAGGGTCCCTCTGAAAGACAGCCCTGCCTCCCGATCTGGTGTCATCTGCAAACTTGAGGAAAGTGTACTCTTTTGTATTCTTCAGGTCATTGGTAAAGATGTTAAACAGGAATAGAGCTTCATAATTGCAACTACATAAAGAAGAAGAAGAAGTGCAAAAACGTACACTTTTTTTAATCTTACCTTTTCTGCCCTCTTTTTATTTACACTTAGATAATGATGTAAAATGCAATCTCCAGCTTCTGTATGACTACCTGCTATCGATGGTTAACATCACAATAACATGTAGATAAGGTCAGAATATCCTCCCACCTTCGTCTACTTTATTTTAGCTATTGAATAAGCAACTTTAAAAGAGAAAATATCATCAGGCTTACTGCACTCAGCTTTTGGTGAAATGTTTTTTTAAAAAAAGCAATAAGATACAGTTTATCTGGTCAAGTTGAGCGGCTGAGCAGAGCAGTGCTAGTATCCATCACTTCTGCTCAAACGCATCTACAGTCCACTTTCCAAGTGAAGACAGAGATGGAATGCAAGAATTAGAAAACAGTTCTAAAACAGTAATGCTGCATTATGCAGCATTACTAATTGCACAGTACAACTACAGTTATTAAATTAAATCTAATAATTAATAAATAATTATTACAGATAATTCAAAACTTAATTTAAAATTATCTAGTATATTTATACAGCATACATAACATAAATAATCTACTTGTTCTGAGAATGCTACCTAAATGTGAGTTCCTTGTATGTTAAGGATTGTTA